CTGGGGAGCCCTGCTGGGGGCCTGTCAAAGTACTTCAAGGGGGCCTAGAAGAAAGCTGGGGACAGACTTCTTAGCAGGGACTATTGGGACAGGACAAGGGGTGGTAGTTTAAACTGGCTAGAAGGAAGAAATGTTTGACCCTGAGGGTGGTGAGCCCCTGGCCCAGACTGCCCAGAGAGGTGGTCACTGCCCCATACCTGGAACCCTTCCAGGTGAGGTTGGACGGGGCTCTGAGCAACCTGCTCTAGTTGGGGACTGGGGACAGACTTCTTAGCAGGGACTATTGGGACAGGACAAGGGGTGGTAGTTTAAACTGGCTAGAAGGAAGAAATGTTTGACCCTGAGGGTGGTGAGCCCCTGGCCCAGACTGCCCAGAGAGGTGGTCACTGCCCCATACCTGGAACCCTTCCAGGTGAGGTTGGACGGGGCTCTGAGCAACCTGCTCTAGTTGGGGATGTCCCTGCTCCCTGCAGGTGGTTGGTCTGGATGCCCTTTGAAAGGTCCCTTCCCACCCAAACCACCTCATGAGCTGTTGCCCATGTTCAGGAGCTGCCCCTCTCTGGCAGGCTCTGTGGCTGGGGCTGTGCCATGGGTCACCCTGCACCCGGGGCAGGGGTCTGACCCCCAGACCCCTCAGGATTTACCTCGTGCCCCCTGACAGCCCCCTGTGTTCTCTCTCAGGCATGCCAGCCGGGCTGCAGGGCCAGAGCGTCTCCTCGGGCAGCTCCGAAATCAAGTCCGACGACGAGGGCGATGAAAACCTCCAGGACACAAAGTCTTCTGAGGACAAGAAACTAGAGGATGACAAGAAGGATATCAAATCAATTACTAGGTCAAGATCTAGGTAACAGTATATAATAGTGTCGCTTCATTTAATTCCTTTACTGGATTTCGATGAAGTGAACAGAACAGGAGGAAACTCTGGGGTTTTCTCCTGGCAGGTAAAACTGCAGCCTCAGTGGAACAGGAGGGAGGTCCTGGCAGTACTGAGCACCTCTCTGGTACCTGTACTCCAGGACGTCCTCAAATTCCAACAATTACCAAATTTGGACGCTGAGCCAAGTGCTCCACAATCTGTCAAGAAATGGCCTACGCTAAAATGTACAAATTGGGCTGTTGCTCCTCTCTGCCTGCGCTGCCAGATGGGGATACAGGGTGGATTGGCATCTCCTGGGGACTGGGAGCTAAGAGCTGCTCCCACCTGCATCTGAACTAACCAACCATGTGCTTTTCTTTGACCTCAGAAATACAGTTGTCATCCCAAGCCCTCCGTTTCTGTAACCTGCCCTAGGTGACCTGCTGGAGCAGGGGGGTTGGATGTGAGGATCTCCAGAGGTCCCTTCCAACCCCACCACGGTGGGATGCTGGGATTCCATTAAAATCTCCAGGGCTCCCTAGGTTTAAGCAGAGGATTTAGGGGTCTTTTCACATTCTTTTTAAATTTTTGGAAAGTATTAGCAAACTCGTGGCTGGATTGTGTCCTCTGGGAACCCATGCCCATGGTGAATGTGAACCTGAGAAGGGACGGGCTCTGTGGCTGTCCCTTGCATTCCACCTGCCTGCCCCACGTGGCACTGCAGGGACCACAGACCCTCCTCATCGTAGCAAAATCCCTGTAAAGCCAGAGTCCAGGCAGAGCTTCATCAGGGGCTGCTTCTCAAGGTGAATGGTGGTGGCCTTTGCTTTTTCTCCTTCCCCACCTGGTTCCCTGGCTGGAAACAGAGCCGAGGTGGGGAGAGTTGGGGCTGGGACTCAGACCTCTGCAGCCAGCGCTCACCCTTCCATCACATCCACCTCTCTTGGCACTGGAGAAAATATTTGACATTTGAGATTTTCTGGGCATCAATGTGTTGAAGTGACCCCGTGTAGAAGTGAGGCTTTCATGTGCATTTACCGAGTGGTGAGAAGAAAGCACCTTAGTGCTGATGGGAGGTGATGGGAGTCCTTGTTAATGCAACAAATACTCTGTCGCTTATGCATATTTATATCTGCTTTGAAGCTTTTGTAGGCTAACATTTTTGCTTTTAACATGCTTGCAGCTTTAAAAGGTTACTCCTGATATTTAGTTATGTGTCTAAATCCGTGTTGTGAGGGCTGCTCAAAATGTATTACTCCATTTGCATAACCAATTCAAATTATACAGTGCCAGTGAGTCACCAGTGGATGTGTTTTCAATTTAAAACCATCATTTTTTTTCTGGCTGGGAAGCAGTTTTGTTGCAGAAAGGATGCAGGAGCTCCTTGTTGGGCCCTTCACAGCCATGAACCCCTCCCGTGGCTCTTTGCCCACAGGCGTTTGGTGGCCCCATGGTGCTGCTCACACCTGCTGCCTGTGGGTCACCACTGCTTGGGAGGGTGGTGGGTCCTCACCTTCAGTGGTGGAGAAAGTTCCTTCCAAAGCCCAAATGATTTATCTGCTGAAAGGGGAAGTGTTGATGCCACAGCTTGTTTTCTGTCTAGGAAGTACTGGGGCTTGGGACTTGCCAGCACTGGTGTGAGCAGGGAGGTCCCCTCGGTGGTCAGGGACGAGCTCCTCACTCCCGAGGTGACCCCACACGCAGCAAAGATGGGAGCAGTGTCCTTGGGGTTAAAGTGGAGATCTGCCATCATTTCAAACGTTGCCTTTTTGGCTGTGATAAAACACCTTGTTGAAAAAAAAGCTGTATTTTGCTTCTTGTAAATACGAGAAGTCCTGCTTGTGGGTCACAGAGCTCCATGACAGCCGAAGGCTCTCCTTGCTGTGAGGTCTCAGGGGATGGAACTCTGCACAGGTTTGGTGGGACGGAGATGAGAGGCGCTGAGAAGGTGCCAGGTGGGACAATGGGAGCCGTGCTGCTGGTCCCACAGTCGTCAGAAAGGGTGCCCTGCTTCTGTCCCACAGCAATAACGACGACGAGGACCTGACCCCCGAGCAGAAGGCCGAGAGGGAGAAGGAGAGGAGGATGGCCAACAACGCGCGGGAGCGCCTGCGGGTGCGCGACATCAACGAGGCCTTCAAGGAGCTGGGCCGCATGGTGCAGCTCCACCTGAAGAGCGACAAGCCCCAGACCAAGCTCCTCATCCTGCACCAGGCCGTGGCCGTCATCCTCAGCCTAGAGCAGCAAGTGCGAGGTCAGCGTGCCGCCGGGGCTCCCCGCATCCCCCCCACCCCTCCAGGACACTGCGGGGCCCAGGGCAGGGCTGGGACCTCCCCCCGGGTCACCGCCTGTTCTCCAGCAAGGTCCAGCCTCCGGAGGAAGCCTGGCTGCTCCCTGCCACGCCCCAGCCTGGAGGTGTTGGCAGAGCTGGGGTGTGTTGTGCTGCATTTCAGCACTTCTCCTGAGCAGGCTGTGTCCTCTTTGTCCTGCTGCATCCCTGGGGCAGGGCCGGGGTGAATAACCAGCCGTTAATTGTCTTAATTGCCCATGCAGTGAACAGACCACGATGGTATAAACATCAGTATCTGAAATCTGCTTTTGCTTCAATCCAACAGAAAGAAATCTGAATCCTAAAGCAGCGTGTCTGAAAAGAAGGGAAGAAGAGAAAGTCTCTTCAGATCCTCCTCCACTCTCCCTGGCAGGACCCCACCCGGGGATGGGAGACGCCTCCAATCACATGGGACAGATGTAAAAAAGGCAAGTTTTGTTTTCAGCTCTGTCCTTGGATCCTCCTGCCATGTGCCCAGAGGGGTCACCCCCAATCCAGCCCCCCAGCCCAGGGCAGACTGACCCCCAAGATGCTGCACACAGGGCTGGACATGCTGGCCAGCCCCTTAAAGAGTCATAGAATCGTTTTGGTTGAAGGAGCATCAAGTTCAGCCATTCCCCCATCCCTGCCAGGTCCCCACTGCCCCGTGTCCCTCACACCACATCTCCAGGGCTTGGAAACCCCTCCAGGGGTGGGGACTCCACCACTGCCCTGGGCAGCCTGGCACAGCCCTGCACAGCCCTTGCCAGGGAGACATTGCTCCTCAGGGCCAACCTCAACCTCCCCTGGGGCAACCTGAGGCTGTTCCCTCTTGTCCTGTCCCTTGTCCCTTGGGAGCAGAGCCCGCCCCCCCCCTGGCTCCAGGCTCCTGTCAGGAGCTGTGCAGAGCCAGAAGGTCTCCCCTGAGCCTCCTTTGCTCCAGGCTCCGCACCCCCAGCTCCCTCAGCTGCTCCTCCCCACACTTGGCCTCTAGACCCTTCCCCAGCAGCTCCGTTGCCCTTCTCTGGCCACGCTCCATCCCCTCAAGGTCCTTCTGGGAGTGAGGAGCCCAGAACTGACCCCAGCATTCTCAATGTAGCTTCCCCAGTGTCCATTCCAGGGGGACGATCCCAGCCCGAGACCTTCTGGCCACAGTAGTGCTGACCCAAGCCAGGCTGCTGGTGGCCTGTGCATTGATTTTTGGGTTGCCCTGTGAGCACGCCTGGTTTACTCCAGGGCAGTGCTCAGGGGGGTGCTGGAGGAGGGTGCAGGGACACAGGCTCAGCTCTCCTGGACTGATGAGATCTTTTACTTCTTCCACAGGTCCAAGTTGCCACATTTCTTCATTTAAGCAAGAGACCACTTCCTTAACAGCTGTATTATCTTAAACCCACATAAACACTTCTCCTTAACCCCTTTTTTTGTAATATAAGACAAGTCTGAGTAGTTAAGAATCACAGACGCAAGAGATTTCAGCATTCCCGAGTATTAAATCCGAGGAAAACAAAAAAACAACAAAAAAACCCACAAAAACAGACAAACAAACAAAAAAAAAGTGCAACTTGAGGGACGACTCTCTTTAACATATCACGCAGAATGTCTAACGCAGTATGTTCCGAGCTGTACGTGCACAGCCTAGAGACTGAATGGCAATCTTCTCCACACTGTGGGACAATGCATTTGTGCCTAAACTTCTTTTGGAAAAAAAAAAAAGAAAAAAAAAAAAACTATAATTAATTTGTAAGCCTGAGGAAAACAAAACAAAAAAAAAAAAAGAAAAAAAAAAAAAAAAAGGAAAAAAAAATATTTAATTTAAAATTGTAAACTTGCAATAATGAAAAAGTGTACTTCTGAAGAAAAAGAAACAAAAAAAAAAACAGAGCGTTTTTGTTGGTGTGCTAGACAGCTAGTGTTTATACTTACTGGATATTAAAAAGGGAAGCTTTGCTGCCCAGATATTTACAAAACCAGCAAACGTCCTAATGAAAACTGAAGCGATGACATTAGCCATTCCTTAGGGTAGGAGAAACAGATGGATCTTATAGACCTATGACA